ACTGATAGCCCCCCAAAAGTTACGACTCATTTGCAGTGGTAAAACCTTTGAGTGATGCTGTCCCCTGACTTCTCACCCGCGCTGCCCTCCACGCTAAAAGTGAGCTGTGCCCCCCACCAGCTGCAGCCCCTCCTTGGGAGCCACATAAGGTGACCCACTCTCTGCTAACTCAGCTGGAGACAGGGCAGTCCGCCTGCAAACACGCTCCAGCCTGCGCTGCAGAGGTCCTTTCTGCTGCTTGGGGGGATTATACAGTAGATATGGTCCCACCTGGCCTCCAGACTGTCTTCTCCAAAACAGCCCCGGGCTCCGGGCCCCGCAGTTTGCTATTTGCAAAGGGCGTGGAGAGAATGAGCTGAAGGTGTAGATGCTTCCCGCAGAGACGGGCTGGCCAGGCTTTATTCCACAGGCTGTTACAGCCCCTGAGCGTCGCCCAGAGAAGGTGCGACTGGGAGGGAGAGCACCCAGTAGGGCTATCCCGCGCCCAGGGGTCGCCATGGGGGGCAGGAAGGTGGAGCACCACTGTCTCTGTCCTTGCTTCTCCCCCAGGGCTGGTGTCACCCTCCCGCAGCTCGTCCGCACGGACAAACCTGCCCAGCACGCCCAGAGAGAACCAGGCTCTCCCGTGCGTGAGGTCTGCCGGAGAAGAGCCAACCACACGAACCACCATCTCTAACCACACAGCAGCGTTTTGATTCAAACTGTTCCCCATTGGTTCTCCATTGGTAGTTACCCATTAATACTCTAATTAATATCCATTAGTACTCTAATGACATGTCCCTCAGTGCCATTCACCCTCATTATCGTTTGATTTTCTAGCTCTATTACAATGCAGCGCCTGCACGAGGTGACTGTGTAAACATGCAACAGCCACACAGCAGCCCCAGGCAGGTGGTGCAACGGGGGCGAGGGCCGGGCACCGCGGCATCTCAGGGGTTCTGGTCAGTGGGGTCACACTTCAGCATGACTTTTATCCCATCGCCCCTCTTGCTGGTCTCGAACGCCTCAAGAGCCTTTTCCAGGGGGAAGCGGTGCGTAACCAAGGGCTTGACGTTGATCCGCTTGGATGCCAGCAGAGCAATCGCCACGGGCCACCTGCAAGGGAAACGGAGAGCAGGAGATGAGAGCAGCCAACAGTCTGGAGCTCGAAGCAAAGAGCACAGAGGAGCCTGGTTTCGTTTTTCTGAGTTAACCCTGAGTAATTTTCTGAGTTAACCCTGAGAGCTGGAGCACCTTTCCTGTGAGGACAGGCTGAAAGAGTTGGGGCTGTTCAGCCTGGAGAAGAGGAGGCTCCGGGGTGACCTTATAGCGGTCTTCCAGTACCTCAAGGGGGCCTACAGGAAAGATGGGGAGAGGCTGTTCAGGAGGGCCAGTTGTGATAGGACAAGGGGTAATGGTTTTAAAATAGAGGGAGGTAGATTCAGGTTGGATATTAGGAAAAAATTTTTTACCATGAGAGTTGTAGAACACTGGAACAGGTTGCCCAGAGAGGTGGTGGATGCTCCATCCCTGGAGACGTTCAAGGCCAGGTTGGACGAGGCCCTGAGCAACCTGATCTAGTTGGAGATATCCCTGTTCCTTGCGGGGGGGTTGGACTAGATGACCTTTGAAGGTCCCTTCCAGCCCTAACCATTCTATGATTCTGTAATTTCCTCAGCCCAGTTAACCATGGGGAGTTTTGCCTACAATCTTCCGGAGGGGGAACCTCGTGCGTCAGGCAGGGGAGCTGGGAGAAGCCAACTGCTTGGGCTGTTGGTGACGGAGAAGGCAGGCACTGCTACACGGACAGCTGGCAGTGCTCCCGCCTCCAGAGGCCAAGGAAGCGAAAATCACAGGCAACAACTCTACATCAGAGGCGTCAAATGAAAAACAAAACTGCTGCCTGCCACTCTCCTCTTGCCCCGCCTCCTTGCTTGCAGATGGATCACCGTGGAGTTCAAACTCACCGGCTCGGTGCACGGAGGAGAAAGGAAAAGCCTCAGCCAGCTGCCAACCTCTTCTTTGGCAGAGACTCACACAACCAGGCTGCTTTGCCGCTCCATTTGAACGGGCCGAATTAGAGTGATGGGCATACAAAGGGATGCAGCGGCTGCTCTGACTCCCAAACTGCCTATTTAAAGCTATTTCTCATTTTAAGAAGGAACTTGACTACTAAATCCTTCCTGGAAAACAATCTCAACAGACTAAGCACAGATTCCTGCTCTGCTAGGAAGAAGCTACGGCTCTGAACACAGCAGCAACCAGGCTGCAAGTGTGCAATGCTGGGTCTCAAGCTCTGCCCAAGGAGAACAAGACCAAAGAGGGAACATCTGGGCTCTTCCAGCCTCCAGGGCCAGGTCAGCTTTCAGTACCCCAAAAGATGTGCCTGTCCACAAGCTGTGCAGCTCAGCTCTCCATAGGGAGCGCACACACCTTCAAAGTGGCTCCAGATATATCTTTGGCTGCAGCAAAATGATGAAAACTAAAGATGGCTCTTGCTCATCCAAGCATTCACTCATCTCCGACAAGACTGACGACATGATTTCCATCCATGATGAGCAAGGAGAGCAGAGCTGGGCACCACCAGCAAGGCTGGGTGTTCACAGCTTGACCCAAGATGAGGCACTTGAGATTTTGACTCCTTGCCCCGAGACTCACGTGTTGCAGTAGCGGCACACCCCCCGGATATCCACCTCCCGCAAGGAGGCATTCACGATGGGCACAGTGACCATCTCAGGCCCCAGCCCCACCAGCACCAAGGTCCCACCAGAACGAGTAGCCTGGAGAACAAACACACAAATACGTTATATTTTGTGAAAAAACAGTTGCCAGAGTCTACACAGAAGTCTGTAAAAAAAATAAAGCCACACTTTGTGGCTGCAATGGCCTGTCCAGGGCACAGTGGAGAAGCCAGGGGAGAGGCAGGATGCCATCAGGAGCCCGTAAGCACGAAACACGCAATAAACAAGGCTTAAAAAGCAATCTTTCGAAAATCCCTGAAGGACTTTGGTGTCTAAACCTCACTCTGAAAAATGACTGGCACTTGGGAGTGCAAAAAGCACTTCCGGATTTCGATGGGAGAGATTTAGAACTAAGAGGCTGACGCTCCACTGGAATTTCTCGGTTTGCAGCTCGTCCCATTTGCCTCCTGTCCTTTCATTGTGAAACTCTGCACTACCTCCTCCACCTCCTCCACATCCTCCCGTTAGACAGTTCATGACAGCAAGACATTCCCTCCTTAACTCTGCTGGAATTAATTTCCTTAATCATTCTCCTGATTTGGACACAACTGCAATTTCATGGCAGATGCTGCCCTACTTGGTCCACCTGCCTGACACCGTTGCGTAGCCACGCTTGGGTTTCAGGGGTCTTACTGGAGTCTCTTTGGTAAGTGGTAAAGCACCCAGAGCATCAAATCAGATAATTATCTCCAAGCTGCCTGCAAAGACGTTAACTCTTTAATTGCCTCTGCTGTCTAACGAGCACCTTCCCTCCCCCACGCCAAGCCAACTGAAAGGAACACTACGAGAGCGAAATAACTGTCGGCCACCGCTGCGTCCCAGAAAGAGGAAAGCCATCGCTGCTCTATCCCAGGGACACGTGGTACTCACATAAACGCCAGCCTGGATGCAAGCTTGCGCTCCTGTGCACTCCAGAGTGATGTCGGGCATGCAGCCAAGCAGGCTTTCCACTTTGGAGGCCACCTCCTTCGGGGTCTCATTTTTAACCTGAATGGTGAAATCCGCCCCCACCTCCTTGGCTTTTTGCAGGCGAGAGGCAGATAAATCTGGGAAAAGACAAAACAAGTCAAGAGCTCTTGCTTCCCACCCTCATCTGATGTCTCAACAGAGCCACCTTCTTTGGTGACCAGCTGCCAACTGTCTCAGGAGAGAAGAGAGTATTTGTTACATAGTAGGAGATGATGGAAAGCTCTATCCCACTAGTGCCTTCTCAAGAATTTATGTAGACCACCCAGACCAAAGGGCTTCCCACCCTTGATGTAAATAGGCCACCATCCAGGAGCCCTGATGGAAGCATGCTCATCTGGGGTCTGAACATGCTTTCACAAGGGAGCATACAACCAGGAGAGGAAAGGGTCTACGTTCCCTCCCTCAAGTTCATGCAGCCTTCAGTAAAAAGGCAGGGAGAAGACCTGCTCACTTTTCTGGGCAGACAGAGAAGGACAAGCAACGGGAACACCTTTAAGGCTCAGATGTCAAAGACTTGAGGGTGTGCTTCAATGGGCAGACAGAGAAGGACAAGCAACGGGAACACCTTTAAGACTCAGAAGATGTCAAAGGCTTGAGGGTGTGCTTCACAGGGGCTAAAGTACAAACTCACAGACAAAATCCACACCATGCAAAGCAATATCCAAGCGAAGGAACAGCTGTCGCCGCCAGATGCAAGAGGTGCCTTCTATAAGAACATCAGTTCACAGATCTCCCAATTGCGAGAAGGACAAGCAACGGGAACACCTTTAAGACTCAGAAGATGTCAAAGGCTTGAGGGTGTGCTTCACAGGGGCTAAAGTACAAACTCACAGACAAAATCCACACCATGCAAAGCAATATCCAAGCGAAGGAACAGCTGTCGCCGCCAGATGCAAGAGGTGCCTTCTATAAGAACATCAGTTCACAGATCTCCCAATTGCTCTTTGGTACTGCAGGAACGTCAAGAGCGTGCCAAGACAAACTAGAAGGCCAAGCTTAACTCCCAAGGGCACACACATCAATGCAGGAACTGCAGCAAGAACAGCCATGGCCAAGCACTGGTGTGCTGCTGGGCCTGCCCTGGGCTACCACGTGCTGCTGTCCCGATGCTCACCATAGCGCAGAGGAACCTCAGTGCAGGCACCGGCAGAAGGCAGCAGGAGGGCAGGGCGGACAGGGCAGCGCTGACCCACGCTCGCCCTGTTTGAGCAGTGCCATTGTGTCTCACCAAAGCTGCCACCGCCTAACCCTGCACCACCCAGTGCCTCTCTGGCCATGACTCTCTCATGAAGCAGCTTCACTAACTCACGTGGGACCTTAACCCACTAGTGAAAAAGAACTGAAAAAACCCACGTCATGCACACGCTCGGCGAGTTAACCCAGGGAGGAGCCTGCAGTGAGGCAAAAAACCTCCACTCACTTCTGCATTTTGCTTCGCTGGCTCTCAAGATGATTCGCTGTTGCTCACACCCTCAAGGATCTCTCTCAAAGAGCACGAGGCAGAGGCAAGGTTGATAATAGGATCTTGTGCCCTGATGGCTCAGAAATCACCTGCCATGCACGGCACAGCACCGGGAAGCCTTTTGGACAGGAGACATCGGGCTCAGAGGATCATTAAAGTGGCCATTTCACTTCCAACAGTACCCGATGAGAGCAGATCACGAGCTCTCTGAGGGCTTCCTCAAGGAACCGTAGATGCTTTCAGCTGAGCAAACTGCAGAATGCATCAGTTGGCAACACTCAGCGCGTCCCTGCTGCTGCAGACCTCTCCCATCCTTTTACCCTCCTTCTAACGGTACTGGGGGCTGCTGAGCATTTTCCACCACAGATGAATTAGCAGGCAAGCCCATAAGAAAAAGGGAGTGGATCTGGTAATACGGTTGACCTCGGATGCCCTAATAACACAGAGCAACAAAGCTGGTGATGACAAATGTCTGTGAGGGCATGGCTGTACTCTGGAACCTCTTGACAGTGCTTAAACATCTTTTGAAGATCCATAAAATGGTTTGTACCATGGAGCGAGCCACCCTGGGGGGTAGCCTCACTGTCTGTCTCGTCTCTTCCACATCCTCTAGAAGGAAGCCACCCACTCCTCTCCAGACACACTGGTGACCAGGACATCTCTGGAGATGAGGAAGTGGAGAGCAGAAAAGAAGATTGGCATTTCCCAGGCAGAAACAGCCTCTTTGCCTGCACTGAAGCAGTGGTCTACAGGGGCCCATGTGTTGGCACTGGAAAAGACATCCGGATCAAAGGAGGACCAAGACTTCCTAGATCCAAGATGGAGGGGTGGGCAATGTCTCCTGCCAGAGGTCCTAGGCTTGAAGATGAGGAAAATCATGCCTTTGCTAGGGGCACACTCATCGTCAGGACACGTGCACACTCACCACAAGAAAATACTGCTCTCACCGAGACGCAGCCTTCAGAGAAGTCAAACATGGGGGTAGGGAGGAAATATCAAGGAGGGAGAGGCCACTGCTCTGCCATGAGCTGCTCTGACTCAGCCCAGTGCTGGAAGGAAGCCATGTCAGAGGACCTGCCCTGCCCATCATGCAGCGAATGTGACATTTCCGACTGCCAGGCCAGGGGATGGACATGACCCCACCAGCACCAGGAGGGTTTGAGATGTCAGGTGTAGGCACACCCACCAAGATCAGTACCCAGGAGATGTGTGGAGGGAGTTTCAAGATGTGAGAACAAAGAGTAAAAAAATGCAGATGAAGGAGGAAAAGCCAAGGCTGAAAAGTAAGGGCAGCATCACCCTGGCAGCCTCAAGGTGGGCTCTCGTTCCTATGGCTGCAGGAGACATGAGCCACATCTGTCTCTCCCAAGCTCTAAGCGTTGGGCTTCAGGCTGCATGTGCGGTCATGCTCAACCCTCTGCTAGCAGAGCTGCACTCAGAGACCTCCCAAGCAGAAGAGCTGCTATTTTTGAGGCATCTGAAGAGCTAAGAAGCACTTCTTGAGAGGTGGGCCTGTACAAATCTCACGATGTTCAACAAGGCCAAGTGCAAGGTCCTGCACATGGGTCGGGGCAATCCCATGCACAAGTACAGGCTGGGCAGAGAATGGATGGAGAGCAGCCCTGAGAAGAAGGACTTGGGGGTGCTGGTGGATGAGAAGCTCATCATGAGCCAGCACCGCGCGCTGGCAGCCCAGAGAGCCAACTGTGTCCTGGGCTGCATCCAGAGCAGCGTGGGCAGCAGGTCAGGGAGGGGATTCTGCCCCTCTGCTCTGCTCTCATGAGACCCACCCCTTCAGCGCTGCACTCAGCTCTGGGTCCCCAACACAAGAAGGACATGGAGCTGTTGGAGCGGGTCCAGAGGAGGCCATGAAGATGATGCGAGGGCTGGAGCACCTCTGCTCTGGAGACAGGCTGAGAGAGTTGGAGTTGTTCAGCCTGGAGAAGAGAAGGCTCTGGGGAGA